ACTAAAAACAAATATGATCATATTTTATGTTTTTTTAAATCAATAAACAAAAAAATAAATATAAATTTTCATCATGTAGTCAACCCTTTAAAATAAATTGTATGATATTCAATATTTTTATAAATATCAATGAATTTGGATCCCGGGTATGATGGCCAAAATCCAAGTACAATCATATAATGTAGCTTCGGCTATCCTCGTGCCTAATTTCCGGCTACGAAAGACCGATCTGACTGCATCTTTTTCAACGCTGTCACCATTGACAACCATCACATAATTTTAAAAATACTTTTAATTGTTTAATAATAATCGCTTAAATATATTCTGGGACGAAACTACATATACAGTAGGAGGGGTAAATTGGTTTAATAGTATTTTATATCCTTATTAGTTTAAATTTCAGTAAAAATAGAATCTCCTATTTTTTTTAGATTAAATACATAACAAGTTCTTATTATTTTGGACTTAGATACATTGTCCTTCCCAGTATTTGACCATGGTTTCGTCCATGAATACCTTGTAATCCAATTATTCATTTAACCATTAAAGTAACACGTTAACTATTTTTTTTAGAAGGTGATATATTTTTGGTGATATATAAATATACACATGTCATGTTAATCGTATGTCTATAAGGTGTAGTGCGGGATAAATTTTGTTTTTACATATGTGACATATAAAGGATGCATTAAAGCTCAAATTGAATAAAATAAAATAAATTTTATCTCATGAAATATCAAAAATGAACTACATCAGAAGTCACTTTATTATTTCACTTTGTTTCTAAAAGCCACTAACATATCAATATGTTGTTAAAATTTAAAAGTTTCATCAAATTAATTTTTTAACGATACAGTTAAACCATGCGAGTCGATCAAATAAGAGAGATAGTTGAATAAATGTATTATACTATAAAGCAACAACAAATTATTGTCAAATTGTTATTATATAACGAAAGTAATAACATTTATGAAAGAAAATTAAATACTAAAATGATGAAAAATTTAAATATAAAAGATTTTAAAATAGAATCAAATACATATAAATTTCAAGACCTAAAATTATTATTATTATCATCATACTATATTACTATTCTATATATTTAACGACGGAATAGCATATTTTCTTTATATTATCTAAAGGAACAATAAAATTAAAGGCTCTATATCCTTTTTCTTTTCTGTTTTTGGGATGATTTTTTTTTATTTTTTTACTTTATTTTTGCATCTTTTGAAAAAGAAAATAAAGAGCAAAAAGAATTGAATGCTTCAAAGTCATATGACGAGCTTACTTTCGTTTTTTTGGGGTTAGATCTTCTGCTTTTTATAGTAAAAGACCATTCATAATACCACGAGTCAACAAATTTGAAAATTATTCAAAAAGTCAAATTATATATATATATATATATGTATGTATTTATATATGTATGTATGATAGTGATTATATGAATGTAGACTTATTAGTTAATTCATATGAGTTTAGTAATCATTAATATTTAATTTATTAGTTAATTAATTCAGATCAGACATTGTAAACATTATCTACAATGATGAACATATAAATTTAGAATAAGAATATTTAATATTATTCAAAGAATTTAACGTTTCATCACACTAAATTAATAAATAATTATTTAATTTATCAATTTATCAATTTATCAAATTATTAATTATTAATTATATTAATGAAAGCAAAAGTGTATGGGGTTGAATTGAATATGATGCTACCTTTGGCCTTTTGTGGACCCATTTGTCCTAAATTCAACTCCAAAAGACGGTAGAATTGAAGTGGGACCCCTTCAAAGTTCAAAGGCGAAGGCTTAGCCTATGGCAAAGTTCAGGAGTATTTTACACATTACCAATGCCTTTGTAAAAGAAATGGTAAATTACGTATTTAGTACCTAAATTATATATTTTGATTCGTTTTACTACCTAAACTTTCACTTTTTCAAAACTATACCTAAAAGCTAGTTTTTATTTCATTTTAGCCCCATGGTTAAAAACTTTACTTTTTGTTTCACTTTAGCAACCCTGTTCAAAATTTAATGTCAAGTTTTGAAAAAAAGTTTAGGTACTAAAATAGACTAAAACTTATAGTTTAGGTACTAAACATTTTAAGTTTTTAACAGCGGGATAGTAAAATGAAATGAAAACTAGAATTTAGGTATGGTTTTAAAAAATTGAAAGTTTAGCACTAAAACGAATCAGAATTGTTAGTTTATATACTAGATGCGTAGTTTACCCAAAAGAAAGAAAAGTAACCAACAGTGTCTTTGACTTTAGCTGGTGTTTAAGACCATGTGCAAGCCTTAAAGTAAACTTCCCTCTCTTGTCTACCGTTTTGTTGTTGTCCAACTGTTCTTTTTGGTTCTTTTCCCCTTCCATTTGCTTTTCTTTATCCCTTATTCCATCTTGTTGGTCATTTTCACTTAATTTCTACATATTTTCCACTAATCAAAACAAGGTAAACTATTGATGATATTTTTATTCATCTGAATTCGATCCGAATATAACATCTTTTCATCTATCACTTGAGTTTGGGGAAGTTCCAACAAGCCGAAACTCGACTGAATTTTTAAGATAAAAACTCACACCAAACATGAAATAATACAGATTTACAATATACACATATATTAACTGACCCTATTTTCATATGTAATAGGGTAGGGTAGTAGGCTGCCCCCACCGTCAGGTTGGGGACAGCTTCCATGGAATACCTCCGACATTTAGAATTATAAATTGTCCACCGTAAGATTCGATTCCACGACTACAAAATTAAGAGACTTGCGTTCTACCAACTGAGCTAGACGGGCAATTCTTACCATATACACATATATTTATTTAATATATTCAATTTACACATTAAAATAATATTATTTTTTAATATTTTTTTTATAAAGGGTTAGAGCGAGGAAAACAGCAAAAAGATAAGAATGGTAGTGATGGAGACGAGCGCACATGTAAATCCAGGATTCGATGTATTTTATTTTTACTGAGAAAGTTACTGAAAGGCGAGTGAAAAAGGCTGCACTTCTCCTGCAAAGATCTGAACTTATATTAACTTTAGTAAAAAAAAATTATCTGCAAATCTGTGGTAACTTCCATCTTTTTTTTACAGAGTAATAAATTTGCATCATTTGCAAAAGATTTTGTCTTTCATTACTCACTCGCAACAACAAGCTCCTTCACGTGCTCTGCCTGTGAGTCTCTAACGCAAACTAAAACCATTCTCTTCATATTTTGCAGCTGAACAGTATAAAAGTAACATTTGGTATCAATTATTTTGGTGAAATTGACAATGAGGTGTCTATACATTTAAAATGTTTCATGTAATGATTATGATTCAATAAAACATCTAATAGAATCTATTAAGTGTCTTCCACGGTAAAAAGTTATGGTTATTTTTAGATAATTTAGATTTGAGCAGTTACGTTACAGAGTGCATATGTATAATTAATAGATTAAAAAATTTGAACAAATATTACTATATAATCACCTAATATTTATATCAATCTCTCCCTTAAGTTAAGTTTAGGGTGTTGGAGGTATTCTTAGGGATGACAATCTATCTCTAATTTAATAGGTCCCGACCCGATATGGTCGGATTTTTTTTAAATTCATGTTCGGTCGGGTCAAAATATTACGAACCAACACGAATTGAGGATAATAATATAATTTCCTTAAAATTTATTGTTTTTAATTAAATCATTTGTTATATAGGGTCGGGTCAAAATTATGTTCTAAGAAGTCGGGCGGGTTGGAGTCAGATGAATATATATTTTTTGGATCGATTCGGGTGAAAAATATAAAATTTTTAGGTTAGGTCGAGCTTGAGTGGAGGATAAATATTTTTAGGCGGGTCGAGTTGACAAAAAAACTGACATTAACCAAACCCATTGCCATCCCTAGTTATTCTTTCAATAGATTGAAGCGATAGAAAATAAAGATATTAGAAGTGCAAATAAACACAAAGAAATGAAAAGTGAGATGCTAGTTTTGACATTTTAAAAGTATAAGGGGGTGTTTGGATTGGGGAATGTGGGATTCCCATGGGAATGGAATCCACATTCCCCCGTTTGGTTAGCCCGGGAATCCTATTCCCGGTAATGTAAGATTACCAATAGTGAATTTTTTGGGGTATATTACCGGGAATGCCATTACCTCCCTTTCCTTAGGTATTGTTGGATTACCGGCGTTTTAGACTAAAATGCCCTTAAATTTTTATTTTTTTTCAAAAATATATTTATTCTGTCATCGAATAATAAAAATTTTACGAATGTTAAATTACAAATTTATCCTTAAATTATTTTAGATTTACAAAAAAAATTCTATAATTAAAATTTTATATAAAGTTCAAGGGTTTAAATAAAATTTTACCCTTTCATTAAACTTTTTTTTATTTTTAATTTTATAAAAAATATATAAATATTATGAATTTAATTTTTTTTAAAGAAAATATATAAATATTTTCCAACTTGTAATATTACACAAATATATAATTAGGACAATTTGGTCAAATATACATTCCAATAATCTTTTATTCCTTTAACCAAACACGGTAATCTTACATTCCTGCTAAGCCAACCAAACACAAAATACAACATTCCCAGTAATGCTATTCCTTGGTAATCTTACATTCCCACTGGTAATCTTATATTCCGTGAACCAAACGCACCCTAAAAGTTATATTATAAGAATATTTAGTCGGTTAATCAAGCTGTTTATTTTTGTTATCTCGTATTTTCTTTTATAAGTATGAATAGAATTAGCTTTAGAATTTGTAAAAGAAAGTATGAATATTATATTAGACATCTTATTAAAATATAGATGTTATATTAAATATTTTATCACAATACAAGGATCAAATGTGATATTATCCCAATTAAAATAGACTATTATTCCTTAAAAAGAATCATCACTGGTGAAAAGCAAAGGCTGCAAAGCTAAATAAGCTATTTATCCCTTTCTTGTCCGAATCTCTTTGTAAAAGTGTATCAAAAGCTTACCTCACTCCCCTGAAACACCGTTTTCAATTTCCTGTCATCAAAGGAAGCGCAGAGAGGTCCTTTCTCATGACCTTTTTAAATAGCTAAAAATCTCCCCCAAAGAAGAAAAACCCAAAACTTTCACGCTCATTTTCTCTTTGGATTCTTTTCTCTGTTTTCTTCCATGGAAGCTCTGAATTTTCTGAGGTTTTGGAAACACGGTCACGGGGTTCATAAAGTGAACCAAGCCCAACATTGTAACGGTAACGCCACCGCCAAGTTTTTCGATCATGTGTTCGATGAAGGTGACGACGCTTTCATCGACTTGGAATTTCCTTTGCGTGAGGCCGAAGAAGATAAAGGGAATGCTAAGAATGCTGAAGCTTGTTCTTCGTCTCCCAATGATCATTTCTCGAAAAGGAAGATTTTGCCGGTCGAGCCAGTCTCCAAACCTCAATCGCCCATCGCTCTGTTGAAATCGGCCCAGAAATTTCGAGTCTTTCATCACAGGAAGCCGAAAGCAGAGACCCCGAAGCACGAAAAGCACGGCGGAGGCGGCGGCCATTTCGCCAGAGAAAGCAGTTTGCGGAGAACAGACGGCGAAACCGACGATTCCTCGAAGAAATTATCCAGGGACCTGGTGCACAAATACTTGAACGTAATCAAGCCGTTGTACACAAAAATCTCCAAGGTAGGAATCTCCAGTGACTCGACAATGTTATTTCCGGCGGCTTCTCCGGCGACGGTGTATTCCACAAAGGAGAAACAGGGGAATACTAGAGGTGTTTATAAGCATATGGGGAAGAACAAATCATCGTCAGCTGCAGCATCGCCGATTAACATGAGAGATGATTCCTTGCTTCTACAACATGACGGGATCCAAAGCGCCATTTTGCATTGCAAGAGATCTTTCGATTCACCAAGAGGTGTTAATTACTCAACTATATTCTTAATTTTAAACTTTGGGTTTGATTCAAAATTCGATTCTTAGCTCATTTTATTTTCTGGGTTTGCCTGCAGATTCTTCATGGTTGTCAAGATGCACAAGTGATTCTTCATCACAGGATAAACTAAGCAATGCTTCTTCAACAGGTATACACATTGTTTCCCACTGCAAAAAACCTTTTAAAAAAAAACAAGTTTTAACCGCTAATCAATCATCTTTTTTCCCCAGATTCTTCCATGTTTTCACGAGCTACACCATTTCCGCCAGAACATCCAGCGAAGAACATAGACTCTGACCTTCAATATCATAACGATGTAAAAATCTGAGAAAGTGTAGTTATGTTTTTTTGAAAGAAATGAAAGTTTGATCTTAAATTTCTGCAGTTGAAACCAATATCATGTTTGATTTGAAAGGTGAGAGATGTTCACATCAAAGATGTGATAATGATTTTGAAACAGTGTCTTCCATTTTTCCAAATCTGATAGTTCCTAGTGGGGATTTTGCTTCTTCAATCCTTTCAAATTGCTCCAACAGTAATAGACTATTCCCAGATTTGCACTGTTTAATATGCCAATGAAATTCAAATCTTAATTCAATTGCATCTCACAACTGAATGCAGTTGCTGTCAGTACTGGGTATTCAATGCAATGCATTCAATGTATGCAGTTCGATCGTTTATGAGTGAAGGATTAATTGCAAGTTCCACTTCCATCCAAAGTGCACCTTTGAACGGTAAGAAATCATGTCATCAAGTGATGGTTAAAATCTAGGGTAAACTACACGTTTAGTATTTAAGTTTTTAATTGTGGTCGATTTTAGTATATAAACTTTTAATTTTTTTAAAATCATATAAAATATTTAGTTTTTTTTTCATTTTAGTGCTTTAATGTTAAAAACTTAACACATTTAATACTTAAACTATTAATTTTGGTCTCATTTTAGTATTTAATCTTTCAATTTTTTTTAAAATGTAATGTTAAATTATGAACAAATGTATTAAAATGAACATCTCAAAATACTGGGTTAGTTGTTTCGGGTTTTACCGCTGGGTTTAGAATGTTAAAATAAGTTCAATTTAAATATTTGGGTCAAGAGATGATTGGGCTTGTAGGAAAGCCAACAAGTTAGTAAAAATGGCTTTTTTGATTTGGGTATGAAAAAAAGAATGACCAAGGAAGTAATTAACCCCTTGTTTGAAAATAAGGCTAAATAGTAATTAAAGAGGGTGATGTAAACGGGGTGAAAATCTGCAGCACATCTTCTATCTTTTTCTCCATCTTTGTCATCTTCTTCCTATCTTCTTCAATCCTCAAATCGTTAAAGGTACGAGCTTTTTAGTACATCAAGGTTTTTCAGCATCTCTAAAGGTAAGAAAGGAAATCTATACTCTTCGAGCTTTAATTCAAGCTAAAAAACACAAAGTTTGGCTATGGTAGCAAAATTTGGGCTTTTTAGAGGTTTTAATTATAGGACTTAAAAATGTTTCTAAGATGTTTGTAAGTGTTTAGAAACGTGTTTCTAAACATTTAGAGGCCTAAAACGAGATTCTTAATCCTTTATTTGTTTTGGTTAGTGAAAGAACGTGGTAAATGCTCATAGCTAATAGCAAGGAAAAATTGATGCTTGGGTGACCCTTGGAGCCTCTTTTCATCAGCCTTAGTGATATAACATATAAGTAACTCCTCTCTACCATATGTAAGCCATGAGTCTATGTTTGCTTGCTTATTGTGTTCTTTGGGTGCAAGTGGGTGTTAATGGTAGCATGCTTAATTGATGCTTTTACTATGTTAAAATGACTTATTGTGGTTCTAAGTAACCCCATAAAACTTAATAATCTTGTGGTAGCCTTAAGGGGGCTTATGAGAGGCTTTGAAAAGTCATTTTCGTGCCTAAACAGAGCACCCATGACCGTTGGTATTGGTACTATAAGAACAATACCGATACTATTCTTCATAAGAGATGAAAGTAAGATAACTTTTGAGGGTGAGTATCGATACTCAGGGTCTGGTGTCGATACCATTAGGAGAGTATATATACTCGGGACACTTTGAGGATTTCAGAATGCTATTCTGGTACCGATACTTATGGGAGTATAGATACCAATGGGGGAGTATCGATACTCTATATCAGGGTATCGATACTGAGAATAAAATTTAAAATCGAAGCTAAAATTGGTATCGATACTAAGGCTAGTATCGATACCCTAAGGCAAGTATAGATATTGACAAGCTCATTATCAGTACTGACGTTCTGTATAGGGCAAAAAATTTAGCAAATTTTGTAAGGCTGTTGAGGGGGTTATGAGGGCATTGAGGCTTCTTAAATAAGACCACAAGTGATAATAACATTCAAAACCCTTATAAACAATAACATTAAATTATATGGCATAAAACTAGCCTTTGTTTGATACTTGAGAAATAGTAAGGACACCTGGGTTACTTGAGCGTATGTATATACTATTAAAATACGTGAGCGTATGTATATACTATTCAAATACGTGAGCAGAGATATCCTTTCACTCAGAAGCAAGCAATCACGGAGGAGTTCGAATCGTCGCCGAAGAAGGTGAGGAGACCGTAACTTTTTAGTTTATATCTATGTCGTGAGGGGATTATTTTGGATATTTAGGTATCGGATCTGTACTCACGAGGTTGGAAGGAGCATTTTGGGGTAATTTTAAGATTCCGGCCACCATGGGCAGTGAACGGATGGCGACCGAACGAACGACGAGTGGAGGCTTGGGGAGAAAGTGACCGAAGATGAGAGAGTTTGAGAGAATTGAGAGTTGATTTTTTTTTGGAATAAGGTTGAAAAAAAAAGGAAATGAATTGCTTTTATAAAGGGATGTATATGTAATTAGGGGATAGCCTAATACGCACGCAGTCCCCCATTTTCAAAGTATAATTCATTTTGGTCTCTTGCTTCAATTGGACCCTCAAATTTCAATTTAGTTCAATTTAATCCTTTTTATTTTTCCATTTTAAATTGGTATGGATTGGATCTCTTATGGGTTTGTTTTCACTGACCCTTTTTTTTAGGGTTGTTTTCGACATTGATATGTTGCACTCTTTTTCCTCCAATTGAGTTTAAGAAGGTTTTGAACGAGACCTATATTTCTTTCTTGTTTTATACGTGTTTCCTTTCAATAACGTACAAAGTTATCCCTTTAAAAAAATATATGTGAGTAATCATTTTTTTTATTCTTTCAATCAAAACTGATATGCCTGTAATGTATATAAAGTGAGATTCATTAGATCCATTCTCCACCATTCTTGTCTAATTTATTAAATTGATTGTAAAATTGTTAATAAATTTACATTCTCGTCATTTAATTGTGAACATATAATTGGTTTAAAGCTTAAGATCAAATTGGAGTACCAGTTAAAAGAGTTAAATAGAATATAAATATTTGAATAGCCAAAAACTTATATCTTAAGTTTAAGTTTGATTTTAGTAAGTGTTAATTGAAATTAATTCTACACAAATATTTTTCGTATTAAAGTGGTTGTATTGTACAAGATTATAAAATAACCTTATGAGGATATAAATTTAGAAAGGATATGAAAATTATTCGAACAATTAAATGCATGATTGAGATATGTTTATTTAGTATTGACTATTGAGATTGAGGTTTAGAGCGTAAGACTTTTAATCTTGTGGTCGTGGGATCGAGTCTCACGGAGGGCAATTCATAATTGCCGGAGGTTTTTCACGGAAGTTGCTCTCAACCTAGCGTTGGGGGCAACCTTCTACCCTACCTCTCCTTACCCCGTTACATATGGGAATATGGTCAGCTAATTATTGAGATTGAGGTTTGACGTATTTAATAATCTTAAGATAAAATGAATTATGTTAAATAAGTAGTAAATTGTGACTCGTTAATTATTTAACTATCCTTGATGATTTAACGGTTCATATTTAACGGTTCATATATAAAGAGAAGCATTTTCTAACATCCGTTTCATATTTAACGGTTCACTGACTTGTTTGTGATTTTTTAAAATTAAATGATCAATTAATAATCTTACTAATAATTGATTGGGCTATAAAATAATTTATCCTTTAAAGATCATCACAAAACGCAAGAGCATAGCGTTACTATCCTATCTCACTTACTTTCCCCCCCCCCTTCTTTATTACTCTGATTGGCGCCATCGTACGCAAAGTCGTCTCTGAAGCAGATCGCGATCTGAAATTTATTTTTCACAGGTTAATATTCATTTCTTTCGATGTTATGTAAGTATGTTGAATTTTTACACTTTTTAATAATCACGAACGATTATTCGAATATCAGCTAGTTGTTTTAACCCGAATTGTAGTTTACTTCCTTCAAATTTTCGTTCTAATTTCGGATGTTAGGATTTTCTATTGTTTTTGTTTAATTTTTAACTCATATCCCAATTGGCTTGAGTTAATAGCTGTTGATCGACTTTGGCTGTACTAGCAGTTTACGCTCAATTCATTTCAGTACCAGATTCATCAGTTTGTAATTAGGGTTTTCTTTTCTTTTCCTCCAATAATAGGAGCCAGGAGTTCAGGACCTTACCTGTTTTAATTGTTTATAAAATGAGGCATTTTTTAATATTTTGTGTAATTGGATTTTCTACTCAGCATTTTTTATTTAATATAAATTATAGTAGATGAACGTAGGTTACGGTAGAATTGCTGATTTTACTTGTGCAGTAACTGATTGGAACTTTTATATAAGGTAGAAGGTCGCCATGGCTGCTTCGGAAGAGAATAGTGCTATGTTTCCAATTTTCATTTTAACGATAATGGCACTGCCTTTGGTACCTATACATTTCTCAAGTTGTGCCGAGCAGCATCCAAGAAAGCAAAGGTAATTCATTGCCAGTGTGCGGAATGCTCTCGCTCAGGGAAGTACCGCAAATCCATATTTAAGCGGGTAAGCCGCCATTTTGCTGCCCCTTTAATTTATCATTCAAATTTTAGTTTATGAGGAATTTCATCATTTAATATGCGTTATGGTATATGCTGATTTTGGAATGAGTTGGTTTGTTCTTGCAGATTTCAAACTTATCGACTTGTAGTAATTTGACTCTGGTGCTGCTCTGGGCCATCATGATATTCTTGGTTTATTACATTAAAAGCGTTAGTCAAGAGGTAAATGCAATTAGGAGAGTATGAGTCATATGTGAGATTCTTTAGCTATTATATTGCTGTAAGAGTTCCTGTTGTTCTCTTGTGCTATTGTCACCAATTAGTTGTTCCTGTGATGCCTATGTTTTAGATCGCTGTTATGAGTTGCACTAAGTGAACTACTCTGTTTTTCTTTATTCATCCAGGTTCAAGTTTTTGAGCCTTT